AATAAAGAATAGAATTATATATATATAAAGAATAGAAAATAACACTAAAATAATAATGCCTCAAAGTTATAAATTTGTCTTATATCTTATTTATGCAATAATAAATGTATGTAGATTTTTTATAGATTTCAATTTTCATAATGTTGCTACAATATCATTGTATCTCGCATAAACAGTATATTTGTTATAAACAAAATTTATATTTTTTTAAATATCTTACAACAATTTTTTACAAAAAGTAAATTTCACGCTAATTGTGAAACAGAAATGAAACATCGTATTGGCAATATATTTTCAATTAAATGCGGTATAAGATCAAGAAGAAACAGAAAATTTTTTTAAAATACGATATGATACTAAATAAAAGAATTGTTTGTGCAAAATAAATTTACATAAAAAAATAAATAAAATAAAATAAACACACAAAAAAAATAATTAAAATATTGTATTAAAAAAAATGTTGCTTAAACCAAATTTGGATCAACAGAAACTTTGAAAAAAAGTACCTGACTATATCAATTTGCATTTATTTTAAGAAAGGAATGGACAATAATTTACTTGAAATTTATTCTCTAACATTTATTCATAAAATTTACATATTTTGCATATTTACATTAATAGACAATACACTTTCACATCCGTATAAGATAATTTCTTATACGTTTTGATATTGATTGCATCAAATTTTTATATTTAATTTGTATAATTTCATTATATTTTAATTTTTTGTGAACTTCATTTTTATCAAGTTTTTTTCATATTAATTAACAAAATAACTTTTCATATCCACAAATTTCTATTCAATTTATGTCAGGATTGCTTACGGCCATTCATTGTTTTAATCTTATTCCTTCAAATAATCTTATACATTTTTGTTGAGGTCTATGAAGAAATAATAAAAATTTGTATTTCTAAATTCAAATATGAAAATTCTATAATTTCTAACAAATATTCGATAAATATATTCAATAATCCTTAATGAATCGTTCCGATCTTCAGAGTATTTCGTTTCAAAATGAATCAATAATTATGAATTCTAAGATATAATATAATCAATTATATTTTTTCGTTCTTATATATATATATATATATTATGTAATATATATATTATAATATTATGTTCTTAATATATATATATATATTACATTTTTCATGATTATTTATAAATATAACATTTATAATGAAGATTTTAAAAATACAAAATATCTGATCATCATCTAAATAAGAAACTATATCAATCATTAATTGCATAATAAATATTGTTTTTTAAAGAATCTTGTTTCAATTATTTTTAAAATTACAAATAATCAAAATTACATCTACTAATCATTTTTTAATGCATTGGTCTATTAAAAATGTTATTGTTTTATGTATTTGTAATTTTCTTAAAGAAATAAAATTTTTTAAAAATACAATATATACATTTTTCAATCTTCTTTAAATTAAATCGTTACTAAAAACATACATCAATGTATACATCAAGAAATTTGCATCATGATAAAATATATTGATTAAGATTGTTTGTGTTGCATTAGCATTAAATATATATATTATCTAAATATATTATTTTTTTATTTTAAATTCTTATATTTAAAAGCAATATTTATTGAATAAAGGTTTAACACACAATTAAAGATGTGAAAAGTATGAAAAACAATAACGATAGTAAAACTCAGAAATGAAAGAAATAATGATATTGCATTGCATTTATTGGACAATTTAAATAATTTTACCTGATCCTTTATATAAATATAAAAAAAAATTACAAACTATTAATGATATTCATGATAAATATTAATTGCTTTAAACATTTAGTACTCATTAATCCTTTTTATTAAAAATTCTTGTTTCTTCGATTTCGTGAGGTTTCATATCTTTATCACCCCAGCCCCACTTCATATCTTCATGATGATCAATGATTTCGTTTTTGTTGCAGCTACAAATTAAAATTTAGATTTGGAGATTATGCAAATGACGATAAAATTATTTTACAAATATTAATAAAAAAAGTAATTTATTTAATCAATTCTAATAAATGAATTTTTTTAACTTTTATTTTTAGATAATAAAATATTTCTTTTTTATATTTTTTCTAATCTCTATTCTGTGGTTATATTCGGTGGTTATATTCTATATATGGTTTTTAATACTAGAAATTTATTAATAATTATTTTGTATGAATGGAAGAACTTATAGAATGCCGAAAATTTCTATATTTTTATGATTCATAAAAACTATATTGCAAAAATTAATGAATTATTTATTATTTAAATAACTATTAGTAACTAAGTCTTCAATTTTTGACTAATTTACTTTAAAATATATTAATAATCATAATATCAATACCTGGATCCACTTCCTGTTCTAGCTATTCGTTTAGCAATTATTTCGTCAGGAACAGTTTTTAAATCATATGCTTGTCCCAATAAAGCACAGAAATCTATAAACGCAGTTGTAAGATTGGTTTTATAGCCACCAAGTTCAGCGGCTTTATAATCCCAGGGAAATACATGATGATAATTGTGCCATCCCTCACCGCATACAAGCATAGATACAATTAGATTTTCGGTTGGACCAATATTCCTAATTATTTAAATATTCCTAATTATATGAATTTCCTGAAATTTTACTTTTTATTTATTTTGAATTTATATATATATATGAATAAACATTTGCTTTTCATAATAAATTTATTATATATTTTATTTATATTTAAATCTTGAATCTATTTTTTCAATAGAAAATACTATAATTTTAAAACAATATTGAAAACAATAAATTATTTTATATTTATATTTTATATAATTAAAAATTATAAAATATAATTGAATATAAATGGATCATTTCAATTTTTGATATATGAAAATAAGAAACACTAAAAAATAATTGCAATTTTATAAAATGTAATATAATGTAATATTTAAAGATGTAATTTAATATAAAATATAATTTAATTATAAATTTAAAGAATACATCAACAATAAAGAAATTATTATCAATTTTATATCATTGAAAATGTAGTTTAATTATAATAAGTTAGAAACAATAAAAAAGTTATAACTTTTTATCAAATTTGAAATATGTAATGTAATATCATTGCAATTTCTTAAAAAAATTAAGAATTATGAACTATACTTATAATTGTCAATTAAATTAAAAATAAGTTGTATTACATTATAATACAATCAATATTATTATAAAAAAATTCAAATAAACTAATTTCTTACACATCATATGGTCTCATGCCCCACATATGAGCAGCAGAGTTTACCAACCACGTCATGTTCAAGCAAAAAACATATCTTGCTAAATTATTGTACCAGGAATTTATGAATTGTTCATTCCAGAAGTAACATGGTACACCCACCGGAATCACGAAGCATAAGAGCGGCATTAATACATAAAACAATCTAAAAAACACTCAAAAAAAGATTTAAGATATATCGATTATATAAACAATCTCTATTCGGTTTATTTACTGGAATAATAATCGATTTTTAATAAATTTTAATAATTTTGTTTCAATTAAATCTTTAATCATATATTACAAATACTCAAAATTTTTTTCTTAATTTTTTATAATGATCAATATTAATTATCATCAAAATGAAAATAGTAATTCATAAAATTTATATCAAGTAAATATATATTTTTACTTTATTTTAAATAATGTACATTGAATAATATATTTTGAAAATAAATTATTTTAAATAATATTCATTATTTATAATTTCATCAAAGAAAAATATAAAGGTATATTCCTACAATATGTGCAATTTTTGTTATTATTGTTTTACAATTTTTATTAAACTTTTATAGAAACTTAAGTAATTTTCATTAGAATTGATTTTCTTTATTCATTTTATTTCAAACAGATATTGATTAATATAATTTCTTTGTTCAAATTTTATTCTGAAAATTTTATTCTTAACCAATTTTATAAGTAAATTTAATTTAAATTAACAAAGTTTTCCATTGAATCATATTCAATGGAATGTCAGTTAAAAAATAATGAAATTTATTTAATAAAAAAATTAAATTATTGGGCTAAAAACAAAATTATATTACCTTCTTTGAAAAACGACAATGGGATCCTTTTCCAGATCGCTCATATCAACAATAGCACCTTTTTTAATTACATCAGGATGCTTTCGGACTAGCAGCCAGCCTATATGAGAAAAAAAGAATCCTCGATGCGCGTTATGCGGATCTGCGTCAGTATCTGTGAATTTGTGATGTACTCTGTGGTCTCTTACCCATTCATAAATATGATTCTATGAATCAAAATCGAAGCTTATTATTAAATATTACAATTTGTAACGATATTATTGAAGAAATGATAATATGAATATGATAATAAATTCTAAAGAAAGAAAACGAAGTTGAAATTTACTTGGTAGGCAAGTGTTTGAAAAAGCATCAATAGGAAGCGAAGGGGCCACTTTGCTTTATAAGCTCTATGAGACCATAATCTGTGAGCTCCAGCTGTAATACCCATCGAACCAGCAAATCCCATAATGAAAACTGAAAATATCATATGAATTGATTTATGATATTTTATTTAATTCAAATTTTATTACACACTTCTTTATCTTGATTTATATTAATATAAAAAACTGAAAGTAATACATATATAACATGTATTTATTCTCCATTAAAATCTTAAATAAAAGTAACATTGGTTTAATTACATTCTAAATATTATCTAATATTCTATTAAGAGAATTTTTTTCAAAAAATTTCGTAGTTTTCGTAATCATTTTAGAAATTAAAATATCCAAATTATCGATCAAAATCTTTTAACAAAATAATTTACGAAACATTTTCATTTAATAATTTCATTTTCTTAAAAAAAAACTAGAATATTTGTCTATTTAAATTTACAGCGCAAACTGTATTTCGTTTCTAAATGTCCTTTTATCTGTTTTTTATAACAAAAAAATAAAATGCTGATATTGGAGATTTTTTACTCGTATTTTTTGTTCATCATATTTACGTATTTCAAAAATAGAATATGAAACGCGACTAAATGGATATTTTTTTTTAAAATCAGTATTTGATAATATACGATATGATGATATTCTTTTTTGTTGTGTTTTTTGCTGTGTTTTAATTGTTTATTATTTAATTTCTTTATCATTCTACAATTTTTTATTTATGTAATTATTATGATATCAGTAATAATTATTATTCGAGCAAATAAAATAATCGAGAGAAAGAAAAAAGAAGATTTTGTTTTGTCGAAAAAAAACGATCACACTTGAAATCAATTAGCACATGATTAATACAATTAGCACAAAATTAATTTCAATAAATTAGCAAAATAACAACAACTTTTATGATCTTTTTGTGCTAAATGTGATTGGAATCATAATTGAAATATATATAAAATAAACATAAAGCATTTGTTATTAATTAAAACTTTTTTTTAAATTCTTTTTTGATTTTTGATAAGTATAATTATTTTTTTCTAAATATTTATCAATTATTATTTTATTTGTAAAATAATTTTTTTAAACTTAAAGTTATCATAACTATTTAATAAATAAATTATTGAATATTATTATTTATATTTTTTATTATTAATTGTATTTCAATATTTTTCAAAATTTTTACATGATTCTATAGATATTAATTATTTTATGATAGAT